AATTTTTCAGTTTTATTCATTCAGTCTCTCTGCGAGAGACTCGAATCTCTAAATTAACAATTTTATCGTACGAGTCTCTCATACAGAGACTGTGAGAGATTCATAAAAACACCTAGGCAATAACTGAGAGACTGTGAAAGACTGTGAGAGACGCTCTCAGAGACGCTGACAGACTCTAAAAGACTCTGAGAGACTGGAGAGAGACTGAAAATTTTTGTCTAGAGTTACTTATATGTACATACATTTACGTATGTCAGCATCTTGTTTTGCAACATGGAAATAGCAATCCTAGTGTCTTATATCTACGACATATTAGAGCTCAAACATCAAAATCTATGTCATAAGTTGCAAATTATTTTAGGTAATTAAAATTTTAAGTAAAAGTATCTTACTCAATTGAACTAAATGCTTTTGATTTGGTTTGTTTATACTTGTAGATACATTTATGTTCCTTAGTGTCTTGTTTTGCAATTTGGATATAGCAATGCTAGTTAAATTTGAATTCTGAAAGGAAGAACGCTTAATTTCTAATAATAATTTATTTTTAAATAAACAATTACAACGGACAAAAAAACAAAAATATTCGTAGGATGACAATGCTACATATTGGTTATCATCAATTTTCTGGTTCTAAAATGATGCCGTTCCTCCTAGCTTAATAACAACTGCCATGACATTAATCTTGTTTTACTGAAATAATTGTTATACTGTTTCTTTTGTTATACTTAATTGTTTAATGTTTAATGTAAACGTATCGTAATTATTATATCAATTAATTGATCGTTGTTTTTGTTCATGCAATATTTCCCAATTATATACAACGTGGAAAGAGACTTTCAAGGAACTTGTCGCCAAGACAGAAATCTGGGTTACCCATTATTCTGAAATTGGTTTTATCGAAGGTACTGGGGTTGAACTGCTGCATGGTACGGTATGTCTGGAGTTACCAATCGTCGGTAATCGTCGTGTTTAGTAGAGCACTGCAATCGTCAACTCGAAAATGTAACAGAATTGCTACTAAAGTATCCGTTAATTATTATTTTCATAATTCCCTTTTTTTATTTTTTTCTATTATGTAATTTAATATAATTATAATTAGGTGAATAACCAAAGAGATTAGGTAATGAATCAACAACTAGTTGTACGTATAAGTATCTACTATAA